GAGCCCCGGCAGCACATACCCTCATTAATGTTTCAGTAGACAGACAGGCAGAGTCAGCTCCCCCTCCAGACTGCTGAGTCACAACCCTCTGTCCTGGCTCACCTGCCCCTGCAGCCCAGGGAGAAATGCAAACAAAGCCCTGGGTATAGGCGCCTCAGATAAATCCCTGGAGGCGTTTAAGATTCTTGAGTTCTTTTCCTCCAACACAAGGAACGTGCTATGAAGGACGGAGAAGAAAATTCAAAGTCCAAAGCCATTTGGAAGCACACACATCGGGTCTGTTCCTGTGTCACAGGCCGAATGTAGAGAAAGATTGGTTCAGTGAAAAGGTCTCTCGAGAAATTGTTTAATTGGAGGTGGCAATACATTAACTTCTGGATCTTTACCCTAAACGTTTTAGTCTAGAAACGTATTTGAGGAGCACAGGCCAGAGATGAGGTTTTGATGCTGAGGTCCTGTTGGATCACGTCCATGCTGAATCCAGTTTATTAATTACCTTCTGAATGATTACAAGGTGCCAGAGTTCAAGCGTCTTACCAGGCCCTGGGCCTGAGGGGCCTGACCTCACCTTCTGAGGCTCTTACAGGGAATAAATACCAAGGCCACCCCAGGGGAGGTGGCAGTGAGATAAATGAATAAAAAAGGAAAATACCGCTCCTAGGTAACTGCTGTCATCGCTTTGCTGTATTTCCTTCCACATATCTCGTATCCATCCAATATATTCTTTTTTCAATAGTGTATCTTTACTTTTTGTTCCCCCTTGGTATTTATAACAAGAGCAATTCTCCCACATTGTTGAATAGACTTTGCCGATGCTGCATCTGATATTACGTGATGTTCCGCACTCTGGATAGTCTAGAATTTATTTGACTTTTCCTTTATTTTTATAGGCTGAAATCGTTTCTACGTATTTCATTTAAATATTTATTTATTTTGAGAGAGAGACAGAGAGACAGCAGGGGAGGGGCAGAGAGAAGGAGAGAAAGAAAATCCCAAGCAGGCTTCATGCTGTCAGGGCAGAGCCCGACCCGGGGCTCGAACTCACGAACCGTGAGATCATGACCTGAGCTGAAATCAAGAGTCAGGACACTTAATTGACTGAGCCAGCCAGGTGCTGCCATCACATATTTGACTTTTATAAGTGGGGATTCTTCTGCAGTTTTTTTAAAATCACTTCTTCACTAAATTCCTCCATCTGAAAGTGCTACATCAAAAGTTGTGAATTCTTTCAAGGCTCCTGGTACATCTTGCCAAGTTGCTTTCTAGAAGGGCATTCTAGTACGTATCCCCCTGCATCAAATAAAGGTGCTTATCAATTAACCTTTGGTGAGCAGCACATACTGTAATTAAAACCAAAACAAAAAAACTTTTTCAACATAATCTGTGGCGCCTGGGTGGTTCAGTCGGTTAAGTGTCTGACTTTGGCTCAGGTCATGATCTCGTGGTTCGTGAGTTCGAGCCCCGTGTCAGTGTCTGTCCTCTCTCTCTCAAAAATAAAAAAAACATTAAAATTTTTTTTTTAAATGGTCCACACTTCATATGCGTTCCTTTGATACAAAGGATGAATGCCTTACATATTTTTCTGTTGAGGCACTGGGATTTTTCTTATTGATTTTAATATATGACTACATTAAATATATCTATTAAATGGTAATAAGTTATAAATATGTAATTTAATTTTGTATTTATATTTTATCTATCAAGACACAATGAGAGTAAAATGTATTAGCCCCTTGTTTTTAGAGTTTCTTGAATATAATGTTTCAGATTTGTCATTTGACTGTTCATGTTTTTGGTGATTGTTCAGTTTTGTGTACTCAAATGGGATTTTTCCCTTTGATTTCTTTTACTATTTTTTAACATTTATTTATTTATGTATTTATTTATTTATCTTTAAGTAATTAATTTATTTAGAGCACACGCAAGCAGGATTGAGGATTGAAGCAGAGAGAGGGAGAGAATCCCAAGGCACCCAGGTGCCCCTCTTTTTTTACTTTTTTTTTTGTGAAAGAGTCCTTGTCTGCTTGACTCTTACTTAAGTTTACCATATTTCTTATCAGTTAAAAAGTTTAGGTTTAATTCTGAAGTCTACTTTTTTTTTTTTTTTTTTTTTTTTTTTTTTTTTTTTTTTTGGTGTGTAATATGATGTGAGGTTCCAATTTGATTTTTTCCCCCCAAAGGAGCCAATTTTCTCAGCCCATTTGCCTTTTGCAGCTGGTCTGGATTCTCGTGTCTTGGCTCGGGACCTCCCTCGATTTTAACCGTAACTATAACAGGAGGTAAAAGGCCTCCTCCTGCCCTCCTCAGTCCTGTAGAACTTACCGCGTGCCCCCGTAGCCCCTCTTCCAAACAAGCAGGCCCATCGGCTCTGGGGTGACCTCCGGGGAAGACGGGGACTGGCATTTTCACCCGATCCCCGACAGCCTGCGTGCCCTTTCACGCAACTTGGCCAGGTCACTGGGAAATACCGGAGAGGTGGCAAAACAGAAGGGGCTTGGGACATCTTGGTGCCTGTCGGCTGGTCCAGCGCCCACTCAGTCACTTGTCTGCCAAGTGGGACGAGGATCCTGAGATTGCAACTTGCATAATGCCCCCATCATCAGTAGGTCCCCGGAAGGAGCCCCGAAGCCTTTCGTGTCTGGTTCCACCCTCACCAATTTCACACGCGCACGGGGGAGCTGGGGTGTGTGCTTGATTCTCATGGTCTTACTACCCACACAAACACCACTACGCAGCATCGGCTTCAAACACTTCAAAGGCCAGATGTTAGCAAAGTCCTTTATTAGCCTCTGTGATCTGGGCGTGGTCTGCACGCTGCCCCGAAGGGCACTGAGACTCCGGGGACTGTTACAACTCGTAGTTTTAGCCAGGGCCCTTCGTTTAGCCAGGGCCCTTCGAGGCTCAAAACCACCCCAGAGTCCTGGCTGTGACCCAGGAGGCCCTCACCGTGCGGGCCCCGGCCTACTTTTCCCACTTCCCCACCATCACCACCCCTCCTGCTCAGTCTGGGGTAGCCACATGCCCTACTCGGTGCTTCTGAACACCCTGGTTCATTTCCCTGTGCCCAGAACATTCTCTCCTCAGGCTTTTATGGCCGCGTTCCTTGCTTCATTCAGGTTATCGTGCATGTCTTCTCGGAGAGATCTTCCTTGATCACCCGACTTAAAAAAACAGCCTAGGTCAGTCTCAATTACCAGCTTTCTTTTTCTTTCTTTTTAAAAATTCTTTTTAATGTTTATTTATTTTTGAAAGAGAGAAAGCAGAGCAGGGGAGGGGCAGAGAGAGAGGGAGACACAGAATCTGAAGCAGGCTCCAGGCTCCGAGCTGTCAGCACAAAGCCGGACGCGGGGCTTGAACCCACGAACCGTGAGACCATGACCTGGGCCAAAGTCGAACCCTTAACCGACTGAGTCACCCAGGTGCCCCTGCTTTATTTTTCTTTATGTGGCCTTTTATTCACCCACAAATACACACTCTCTTGTTTATTGTCTCCCACCTAGAACATAAGCTCTGCAAAGGCAGAAACATTGCTTTGTTCTTCTGTTTCCTCACCTTGGTCAGTATCTGACAGTCTACACGTCCAGCAACTGGTAGCTTAAAAATATTCAAATGTGAATACCACAGTTTATACAGTGTAGGAAGCTGCCATCAGGAACCCAACTATAATAACATCCACCGTCTAGGGCTTGACGAGGATCACAATAGGAAAATGGCTTTTGATCCAATCTGCAAAGGATTGTACAAGAAGGAACACTCTGGGGGGCGCCTGGGTGGCTCTGTTGGTTAAGCATCCAACTTCAGCTCAAGTCAGGTTCTCACAGTTCGTGGGTTCAAGCCCTGCATCTGGCTCTCTGCTATCAGCACAGAGCCCACTTCGGATCCTCTGTCCCCCTCTCTCTCTGCCCCTCCCTCTCTCTCTGTCAAAAATTAAGTGAACATGAAAAAAAGAAAAAAAAAAGAGGGAACACTCTGGAAAATATTAATGAGACTTATGTGTGAGGATCTATCATATGTTAACTGATTAATCCCTACTGAAACCCTTTAAGGCAGACATTATCTCCGTTATCACAGATAAGGATCCTGAGATTTTTAACTTGCATAATGCCGTATCTATCAAAGGTACGCAATTCAGGGTCAACAACCAGGCTCTTCTGCTCTGGTACACTGCCTCCCACAGAACATCATCAAAGGTGCTTAAATATAGGTTATGCTTCTGAAAATGAGACCTCAAACGATTTAGCCACTAACACAGCTCCTGAGGGGTACAACCTGCCCCTAGGTTTTCTGATACCCACCCAGTCCAGAAAGTGACGGCATAAAATAAGTGAAGCTTAAAAGACCGTGGAACATATGTGCCCTTCCCCCAAGAACCAGTGAGCTCCACATCTTGTTTATGCTACAGTGGACGGAGTTGTTCCTGAAGTCTTACCTTCCAAAGTTTTTGGAAAGAGAGTAGCAAGAAAGCTGGTTCTTATAAAAGATAATATATATTCATTTGCCCAACGAATAAATACGTGTGGAGTGACAACCATGGGCTAGGTACAGAGATAAGCCCCTGGGAACATAGTGATGAATAAGATATAGACATTGTCTTTGGTCTCACGGACCTCATTGGCTAAAAAGGATCTTAGTGAAAATTATGCTGCTGTTGTAAAATTTCATTTTATGACTCAATCGAGAAATATTTATTGACTACTACACATCCTGATTTGTGTTAAGAGGAGGGAATTCAAATGGTGAGCAAAACCAGACCTGATTCCTGCCTTCATGGAGCTCACAGTCTCGTGAGGAAGATCTTAAATAATTTACATGCACATTTGGTATCAGGAGATGCTACAAATAGGGGAAACTGGCTTCATGAGATTAGATTTCTGCTTGAAGAAGTACCCCTTGAGCTGAGATGTGGAGGACAAGTAAAAGGTAACTAGGCAAGGAGGGGAGGGAAGAATGCTCTAGGCAACTTAAATGACTCCTGAGAGGATCCAGTTGTACAAGGAAAGATGGTGAGCCGGAAAGACAGTGAAAGAGGGCTGTGTGGCTGGAGAGCTGGGAGTAAGGAGCACCGGGTTCCTGGTGGGCCCGAGTCCTGGCCGGGAGCAGACCCCGGGTGATGTACCTTCCGGGGTGGCCTCTAGACTCACAGTCTTGCAACTGCGGCACCTCCCTGCTGGAGACACAGCTTTGAGGCGGAGGGGCTCCATGCATCAGCAGGCAGAGAGAAACCTAGATGGTCGGGAGCATCTGCAGGAAAACCAGGGCTCCGCCTCTTGGTGACATGAAGGGAGGAAGAGCTTTCCCCCAACCTTCCTTTCCAGAGTGCCACCCATATTCAGCAGTGGAGCAGAATGCTGTTTTGGGGTCCCACTGAACTGGATGTAAGTTCTTCATCGGTTACCGGTAAGTTTCTCAGCTATTCAGTAGGAATAAAGCAGGATGCTTAGGAGAATCCAACGAGGTAAAGTAGAAAGTGCCAAGCACAGTGCTTGGCTCAGGGCAGATACTCAGTAAATAAGGGCTGTCATTTTTCTTCATCTGTTAAACGGAGACCGTGACAGTGCTGGTTGCCTGGCTTGGTCAGGAAGATGCGTGTTTGGATTGCGTTTGTGGAAATGTTAGGCTGGGCCTCCGGGGCGCAGTCCTACTTCTAATTTTAAGAACCAGGAGCTGACTTTTCCCAGCGCCCGTCCTCAGAACCTGCCCGGTGCACCGTGTGCATTCTCCGAAAAGCGACCTCTCGCTTTTTTCACGTTTCCAGGTTCCTGGGTAGCTTTCCGTTTGGGAACCTCTGTCCCCGACCAGGCAGAGCCGCCCTGCGGGAGCGGGCGCACCCGGCACGCCCACCCGGGGCCGCCCCGCCGCGGTGCCCGCCGGCGCTCGGCCCTCAGAGGCTGGGTCGCGGCGGGCCGGGCCAATCAGAATAAGTTTGGCCCTCTACAGTTTCCGTCCGCT